CAAATAAAAATAAACTTCTTATAGTAAGGTGCTTTAGTTGTGTTTGCCATCCAAATAGATGTGACATTAATAAATGCACGATATACTTCTCTTCAAATTTCACATCATATCTTAACCTTCCCTCAAGCACCCTAAACTTGGATAGTTCGTCTATCCTCTCTCCCTCGAATCATTGAACTAAGTTGCTTCTCCTCTCTCCTTAAAAAGCTACTCATGAAAGACATTCACATTTGAGTTAAGCTCCTCAATATGCCTCTATGTAGCTTGAATAAGAATGTCATACCAAAAAATATCAATAAATTCAAGACTTTGAGCAACTTCTCTAACGTCGCCCCTTATTCTCAAGGACGAAGATGTGCAGCATTGACTTCTAAGCCTTCTCCACTCCCCAACAACCCTACTTGAGTAGCATAACCACGTCTTAAGATTTTCCAAGAATGATAATGATGACATGTAATGTATCTTTTTTTTTTATGAGGTATTGAAATGCGACAATTACAATATGAACCACAGTTGGCTATGTTTTTCATTAGCTTTCATGGGTTGGAATTTTCTTTTTCTTTACATGTATTGATTTTATTTCTTCAATAGAGGGCTAGGCCCCAAAATTTTCCAAAAAAAAAAAAAAAATCTGAACCACTGTTGCAAGCTTTGACGTAATTAGAAGCATAAGATTTTCTTAAATTTCATCGAGATTCTGTTACCAACACAAGAAAGATAACTAGGCAAAGTAAATTAATCTAATCCATATCAGTTATAATCAAGATTAAAGGAGCAATTTAATTTCAGATGTATTAAACATTTTATTTGAATTTATTGAAGTCCTTAATGCCTTGCTTATCAAGATTTTCTTATTTAGGCTACATGAGCTTTGTGACTGTAGCTCTCTTTTCAAGCTTTCGAACAAACAGCAGCGTGCAGAGCGATTGGGAGGTCTTTTTCCATCTCTAATCCATGCCAGATAACATGCATTTTTTTTCTTTTTTTTACATTGTTTATTTGCAATTATATTTTGTTATTGTTTTAGGACTATTGACTATTATTCATATTTTATTTTGGCTTTGTTATTCATATAGTATGCTATATAGATTTTTCATAGGCACTTAGTAGATTCTAGCAAGAGAACTCAATAAATTTATTAGGTTCCAACAAGAGGACTCAGCCGAATCACTCTGCTTGTTGGGAAACGTGAATTGTCCATGCTGATCAAATCGAAGAGTTTTTTTTTTGTTGGGAAAATTTACACAAAAGGCAAGACAGCAAATGCATGAGAGCAAAAATAGACAAACAAGAAGACTCAGAATTAAAGCCAGCTCCAATTCAACCACAGAAGCAGTTGAAGAACATAATGCCATGGCTGAAGCAGTTGTTGCCTGATATAACCGAGATAATCCCATGCGAAAAGAACCAGCAAAAGGCCATCACATCTCCTCCAGCTAGCATAAAGAATGATCCCACGGACGAGCCTGGTTGCCTCAAAGGCCATCCAAGGCTCATGGAGGCTGGCCTTGGTCATCATAGTCTGAATGTCCAAAATTCCCCACAATTGCTGTATGTTATCCTTGTAGTATACCCGAGAAATGATGGACTGAAAATTTGCAAACCTACTGGATTTTGCCATAGGGTAGAACTGGCCAAAATCCCAAAAAACATTTTCCCAGGTCTGAATTGTAAAGGAGAACCAAAAATGGGACATAGGAAAAAAACTCTCCCAGCAGCCAGCCAAAAAAGAACAATCCACAACCTTGCAGCTGCAAAAAAACCACCAGCAAAGCGACAAAACAAAGGGATCTATATGCCCGAGAACTTGTGAGATAAGGTGCTTAAGTTTTTCCATTTTGAAATTTTGAGTCGGATAGTCTCCCTAATATTGCAAATAATTTTAGTCACATTGTTTCTCACAGAAGAAAATCATCTATTGTTCCTTTCCCTCCAAATGTGTTAAATAGTACAACTAGTAATCAAGTAGCAGAGATCCTTATCAGTAGGAAACAGCAGGAAGAATATTACATGTAAATTGGAGCTATTTGAGCTTCAACAAAATAGAAGTGAAACTCACTAAGAAAAGGCAAAATAAACCCTCTATCAATTTTAAAGAGGAAAAAAAACTAAAAGCCAAACTTACAGAAGTAAATGGAAAGATTAAGCCAAGAAAAAGGCCAAAAAACGAAAGCCACGAGAGCCAGAACTTGGATATATTCACATAAACATTCTGCTCAGAAAACCAGCACGAACAGTTCCCCTGATTGCCGTGCGGTAAGGAAATAGCTTAGCTTAACTTGCAGGATGTTTAAGGAGGCAAATATTCACAACAGTCAAATTAAAATTGGGTTAAAATATTTTGACTAAAATTTTCAACATTTTCTTATCACAGTAAATTCCTTTTTTATGTCAGATATATGTACTATTTTAATAGGATATATTTGTGTTACTTTATCAACTGTTTGCACTGAGACAAATATTCACAACAGTATATTTATCTTCTACAGTGTTAGTTTTCCTTTCTTTTCATATTTTATATAATATCTTGTAGTACAAATTCCTAAAAAAAGAGCCTACTTATAAACATATACTGCTACTTATTATTGTTATTTGTATAGATGGAAACAATATCTTTAATGACTTCTTTTCCTGACTTTTAAATTCATATTTTTCAATATTATTATTTTTTAAGATCATTTTATTAAATATAATTAAAAATTATAAAATTCCTATTATACAATTAAAAACTTTTAAGTTTTAACAAACATTTTCTTAATGCATAATGCAAGCAAACCTTATTAATCCTTGAAAAAACATGCAAATAACATCTTACATAATAAGTAGTAGAAGCAATCCAATCGTGAAAAAACATGGCCCCAAACAAACTAAGCAAAGCATACAAATAATAAGTACTATGGTACAATGTCACACTCAGATCTGAAAGCGGTACACCACGATAATACGAGATGCGATGAAGAGATATAAATATTTGTTTTGCATTCACAAATAGATGTATACATATAAAAGAGATTATATATATATATATTATATATATATATATATATATATATATATATATATATAATTATATATTGCATCAGAGTAAGCAGAGTTCAAATTACAAGTGAATATATGCCAATTTCAAATAGAAATTCCAAATTACAATAGTTCTTATACACCAACATGAAAATAAATAGAATAAAAAAGCAGGAAATAAACTACCCAACAACCCACATAAACATAAACATAAAAACTACTATCAAATAGCAAATATCAAAAAGAGTAGTCTACATTGATAATTAAATATTTGCATTGGAAAATAAGGTTGCTTACTACATTGACAAACTCAGACACCGAGAACAATTTTAGCTCGTGGAAATGTGTTGAATTAGGTCCTAAAGAACCTCCTTTTACGCATTTTCGAAGAACCTCATCACTACAGTACAAGTCAAGCAGGAAGTCATCATAGAATCATTTTGCAATCCCGTTGTCGCAAAAACATCAATAGCCACTCTGGAAGGCTTTCCCCTTCAAAATCATTGAAAGATAATTTTTGCAATGAATCAAGCTTCTTCACGCACAAAGCTTTGCAAACTTGAACTTCGAGCATCTTTAACGTAGGGGTACAATAAACCACTTTCAATTTTTCACAGTACTTAAATGTAGTTCCTCAATTTCAGCAGGAAGATGTGTCAATTGATTTCAAACTTGTAGCTCCAACTATCTCGAGAAACTTCATAGAAGAGTACTATGACCTTCTGGAAGCTGGTTTCAACAATGGGCAATCCTGATTATTAGTTTATGTAAACATGGAAGCAACTTGAGTCTTGGAGATGTATTTTGCTCAACTTCTATGCAAAAGACCATTCTTCCACTCAGGAAGTTCAATAGTTGAAGCCTTCAAGTTTGGGGAAAGCAATCCTGTGAATTGACATCACAACCAAGAAATTCTGGCCAATTTCTTTATTTTGGTCGCATCTTCAATAGAAAGCTCTTTAAGTTCAGGCAGCTGACCTAATGACGGAAGCTGAGTGCATGATTTAAGTTCCTGAATATCAATTTAGTCAAATTTGAAACATAAATTTCAAAAGATGATAAACCATCCAATTGGGAAAACGACGACCAGAAGCCTGATATTGTGAAATTTTCTAGGCTTTGTGGAGGTATTATCTTGTCAAACAACTCCTCTACTAACATTTCTTGTTCCTCGCTAGGACTTGATTCATCCATGGAGAACTCCAACGTCAAAGTAGAAAGGTTAGGTAGTTCTTTAAGAACTATGGTTTCACTTTGAGATCTCTTCAAGTTGCCAATGTTGAGCGATCTTATTTGTTTCAGAGAATTCAACTCTTCTAATTTGCTGCTAGAGACATTGTTGGCCATCACAAAACCACTTAGATAATTAAGCTGTTGCAGTTTCTCTATACCTTTTGGTATGAAACGAACAGGAGATTGAAAAACATCGAGGCGCCTTAGAATATGTAACTGAGTGATTCCACTAGGAAGTTGTCCCAATTTTTTGCAAAAACTTATGTCCAAGAATTGTAAATTTGTTAATTGCTCTATGGATTTTGGTATTGTCGTTATATGTGTATTATTCAAATTAAGATACCTCAAGTGCACAAGCTTTCCTATATTGTCAGGAAGTATTTGAATTTGTGTATGGGAAATGTCTAAGACACGTAGATGCAAAAGTCGCCTCATCTTTCACTCATCCAATAATATCAGAAGATGAAGCAAGAAATGTTCTTAGGGCGCCCTGATCTGCAATACATCAAGTATTTCACTGCTGCTTCTTGATTTGCAACTGATATGCGACGAAGCTTGATGGATCTGGTGGAGTTCCTCACATTCAAATCTCCAAAAGAAGTCTCTTCTTTAGATAAAAAATGGTTAGAGATCTGATAAAGATCATGCATTCGACACTTACCATCATAATCTTTTGGTAGCAAAAAGATTTCGATTGAGTAACTCATTGAAGCATTCTTCTGCTAATCTCTTCCATTAATGAACTTGTTGCTTTGTTATGAATCCTTCAGCCACCCAAAGCTGAGCAAACTCATGGGGATCTAATTGGGCATCCTCACGATATAAAGAGAAGTATAGAAAACATTGCTTCAGATGTGAAGGTAGATCTTCAAAACTTAGGTACAAAGCACCACTAAGCTCCCCAGGAAGGTTGTAAATGAACCATGCATTAGGTTGAGAAAATTTTTCCACGCTTTCTTATTTCGCGGTTTACTCAAAAGAACACCAGCAATGACTTTGATTGCAAGAGGAAGGCCTTTACATTTGTTTACTATCATTAATCCTATCTCCTTCAAGCCATTTGCTAGCTCCTCTTGTTCCTCTGAGAAAAGCCTCCTACGAAGCATATCCCAACTGCTCTCTTCAGATAGATACGTCACAGAATGAATGTAAGCTACCTGCATCTTGTTCACAATATTTTCATCTCTAGTGGTGATTAAGACTCTGACACTCCTGTTAGAGTTGTAGAATGGAACTCTAAACAAATTAATCCACACGTCAGATTCCCACACATCATCTAAAACAAGAAAAAGGCTCTGAATTGATGTAACAGAATCTCTAAGAATGCGTTGCAACTCTTCTTTAGTATTAGAATCCCCATAGTTCCCCTTTGCCCCTCTTATCACTTGCTTCAATAACTCAGTTTCTAAATAAGTCTGTGAAACACAAACCCACACCGTTACATTGAAATAGGTTTGAATTTTCGGATGGTTAAAAATTTTTTGAGCCAGAGTTGTCTTCCCCACCCCGCCCATGCCGGTAATAGCAAAAAGGCGGCATTTTTCATCAACCATGTCCCCAAGCAAATGATCAACCAAACTATTTGCTGCAACCTCGACCTCTCTTCCGACAACAAAAGGATCAACCATGGAAGAAGTTTGGCGAGAATCAAGTAAACTAATTTGTGGGGTTTTTGATATTGTGGATTTCTCTAGTTTATAATGTTTTCTATCTTCATATATTTGGTTGAGTCTAGCATTAATATCCTTAATTCTATTTCCAATCTCATGACGCAAAGGAACACTAGTGAAACAGGAGAAGGCAGATGAAAAATCACAACATACCAAAGAAGTTTTAGATTTGGGATTTTGATCAGTGATCAGCTGAGCGCCCTCAATTCTGCAGAGGTCAATTATATCCTCGACATCATACATCACATCCTTAAGCTCAGAGAGCCAGAGTTCGATGGTTGACTCATCAAACTTTTTCTTTTCAGCATCTTTCAGCAGGCATTGGATGCTCCTCATCCGTTGACGTAGCTTGTGAAGCTCGTCCTTCACACCCAGCTGCATGATCACCTCTTCATATACAAAATCAGCGAGCAAAGCAGAGAATTTGCTCATAAAAGCGTCCAAGATCATTGCCATTTTGAAGAAGAATCGAGAACAGTTCGCAGGATGTTACCTAGTGATGGAGATGGAGAGAAGAGCAAGAGAATATTTATAAGCAAGTTCAGCAGGGAATCAAAGCAACTGCGGACAACAAGTATGTAGTTGTGCCTTTCTTATCAAAGAATTAGAAAGAAATTTGAGCTATGCAAGTATTCCAACGAATTTTAAAAAGTTGAAAGAAGGACCTTCCTTGCAACATCATGATCGTATAACTATTTCTTTTAATAACGCAAGTTTTTAGATTCGTTTCTGCCGGATTCTGCAAGTAAGAATCAATGAATTACTCTAGCGTCTTCTACAAGCCAGTAGCAAGAACTGGATCCAGCGTATTTTACAAGCCAGGTTCAAGAAATGAGTCCATCCTATTCTACAAGCCTTGTTTCGAGCAAGGTGTGATCAGCATATTGTGATCCCAAATTTTTTTCAAACTATAAATGATATAATATTACTGATACAAGAAATTAATCAAAGTATCACACGCTAAATTCATAAGAGGATAGATATTTCAAAGATAAATGATATAATAATATGTCAGTTGTAATCCAGATGAAAGAAGAAATTTAATTTCAAAGTTTTTATAAAGCAGAGGATATTTATAAATAAATCCAAAAAAAATCAAAGCAACTTCTGACAACGAGGTTTGTGACTGTGTTGCATGTCAAGATTTTTTATCTGGCAGAATATATGCTCCTTGAGCTTTGTGGCCATAGCTCTCTTTCCAAGCTTTAGAGCTGATTTAGGATTCTCAGAGAGGTTGGAGGTCTTTTTCCCGCTTTAATTATTGCCAAACAACATTCGTTTATTTTATTTTATTTTTAAATTGTTTATTTGCTCTTATGTTTTGTTTCGAATTAAGATTTATCAAGTGTTATTCATATTTTATTTTTGAATTATTTTTTCTATCATACCTAACAACAAGTAATATATAATATTGTATGCTTATATTTTTCTACATAGATTTTTCATAGGTACTTTACAGCTTCTAGCAAAAGGACTCGGCCAAAGTAGTCACCTCACCCACCATAGGAATATCAATTTTTTTGGTTATAAAAGGTTCAAAATCTTAATATTTACTTTACTTTAAGATTAATATCTTACATATATATATATAACATGAATGATAATAGGATTTCACTTTGCCTAATTGATTAGTAGAATGGGGGTGATGTTCATTATCTTTAATATAAAAAGAACAAGATTTGATATGTCTATATGCTAATTAAAGCAATATCATGAGCTCCTCTCCCACATATCCCAATGGAAAGAAATATAACTAAAAGAGAAATAACACAGCCTTCACTACAGGAAAAACGCTGAAAACCGGCGGTTATTTCCGGCGGTTAATCTAGATTTACCGGCGGTTTTTAAACTTACCGGCGGTTTTTACGCCGCCGGAAAAAATGGCGTAGGAAAAACTTTCCGACAGTTTTTTACCGGCAGTTTATGTATGCGGCGGTTTTCCGGCGGCGTATACCGCCGGTAACGATCGGATTTTCCCCCGGCGGTTAGCCGGCGGTTAAGCCGCCGGTATTGTGACCGTCGGTAATTTACCGGCGACCGCCGACGGTTAGAGCCGTCGGTCTTACCGACGGTGTAAACCGCCGGGTATTCACCGTAAAACCGCCGGCGGAAGTTGGTAACCGCCGGTACATTACCGGCGATTTAATTCCATTACCGACGGCCTGTATTTAGCCGTCCGGTATCGTCGTTTCCGACGGCTAAACCGCCGGGAAGCCGCCGGAAACCTGTAGCACCTGCAAAAAAAAATTGACAGCATCTCCTCTATTTGAGGGATGTTCACCCTAAAGTCTAAATCTGCAGAAAAAGCAAGATATGTTGGGCAACACGCCGCTATATTCATCAGAACCAGGAAATATAAATACAACAAAAAGTTCATCATAAGATTACAATGACAAGCTCACAAGTAAGTTCATGATAATGTTACAATCACAAGTTCAGAAGTTCACAAGTTCTAATTAATACAATCATCAAACATAATAAACATCTAATCATCATCTGTATCCTCACTGTCTGCAGATGGTTGCTCCTGTTGGTCCTTCTTCCTCTATTTTCCAGCTCTGTAGGATTGCAACTCTGCTTGCATTTCATTCTGAACCTTCCTCATTTCTTCAATCTCTTTAGATTGAACCATTTTCATCTCTTCAATCTCTCTAGTAAGTGCTGCAACCCTCTCGCTTACAGATTCTTCAGCTTCACTTGGATCATGAAATGCAGAGGTGTATGTATTGGGGTCAGCAGAGCAAGCGACCGAGAGAGAGAAGGAAAGAGTGAAAATGAAATGCGAGGAGCGGGGCAGGTCGTATTAGGTCTTGTACCGGCGGTTTTCCGGCGGTCTGGACCGCCGGTAAAAAATCACTTAACAACGGCGGTCCAAACCGCCGGTTCATATTGATGTCCGGCGATTTACCGTCGGTTTAGATACCGTCGCTATTACCGGCGGTTTATCGTAGCTAAGCCGCCGGTTTAGCCGTCGTTACCGTCCGACGGCTAGACCGCCGGCAACGCCGCCGGTAATACCGGAGGTCCATAAACCGCCGGTTCGAACCGCCGGTAATTGGCATTTTTCCTGTAGTGCTTTCTTAAAAAAAAAAATTTAATGATATAATCTTATGATCTTGTTTTATTCTTACATCAAAATAGATTCTCTTAAAACTAAAAGGATATTCAGCTTTTTAAATTCTTATTAAGAAAATTTTATTTTTTTTTTGACTTAATATTACTCCAATCTATATAGACTATTGTTTGTTATGATTTTATGGGTATATAGAAATTTAATTCTTTTTCTTATTTTTATAAGATTTTAATTAATTTTCTAAATTTCAAGTCAATTAGGAATTTATTTAATTTGGAGGTGATGATGTGTTGTTAACTAAAATATTTATTTAGTTTATTATTCATTGTGATTTTATGATTTCAAGTAAAAATTTATTTTATATTTTTATTTTTATTAATTAATTTCATAACTCCCTAGGCCTATTTGTAAATTTTATTAAATTAGGAGGTGAAGGTAATGAGTATTATAAAAATATTTATTTAGTTTATTGTTCATAACAGTTTTATGTTCTGATAGAATTTTATTTAAAATTTTATTGAATTTTAATAAATTTTCTAATGCTCAAGTCATTTGCTTATTATTGTTTCAATAATTCAATTGAGTCTTACTTTGTTAATTTATTATTTTAAACATAATTTTCTCTTTTTTATTATATTTTAATGTGTTTCCTTGGCTTAAATTTATTTAACTTTTTGATTGATTTTATTTTAGTAATTATTTTAAATGTTTACATAAAATTAATTTGATTTTAGGGGTTATTTGAATATGATTATGAATTAGTTTAGTTTAAATATAGAGTAGAATTCAATTTGCTTAATTTATTATTTAGATATATTTAATCAGATTATTTCTTGTTAATGATTGCATGATTTGTTTGGTTTTAGAAATGATTATTGTAAGTCCTTTTTTTTTGGGCCCCTCATGACTACTCCACCTGCTCCCTATCACAGCAGCCGTTATGCTTTGATTAAATGCTCATACATTAGAATTCTGAAAACAAAATAGATAAAGTAGTAGTATTGTCTTTTCATTGATCTAGCTTACTACAGAGCATATATATTCACTCATTATTATTTGATTGCACTATAACCGTGAGATTGCTATCATATAAGAGTGAAAAAGGAAGATAATCTGAACACCAGCAAATGGCAGCAATCTCACGGTTATAGTGCAATCAAGTAATTATGAGTGAATGACTGAGATAAATCAAGAATACAATATCCCCCCGCTCTGAATATTCCTAACTTATGAATAAATAATTGATTGTCATAACAACCAGAGTCACTCATATAAATTTGATTATTGCATGAGCTTAAGATGTGAACATAAGAAAGTAACGAAAACATAACCACAATCGGAAACATTATGTCATATGGTACACACATGGGTAATGAGCAAGTGTCTTGTAATCTATAGAGTTTGGCGATCACCTTATTCATCAACATAATATAAATATAATGGGACTAAGTTTGACATAAACAAAATTGTTGTCATTCATGTACATTATAATCAACCCAAGAACACTATAATTTGTCTGATGTAATATTGACGTTCATTTTCATTGTCAAATGAGTGAACTTAATTAATACATAAACAAAAGCTATATTAAATAAATGTGGCAGATATTCAATTTTATCATATCTGAATTCCCTAGAAGACAATTACAGAAAGAGATTAGCGAGTTGTTGCGTACCTAAAATGGTTTTTAGATTTCTACTAAACACATAATACATACAAAAAGACCTATATAGAACTTTCTATGTGATGGTTAGTAAAACAAATTCGAGGAAATAAGTGTTGTTACATCCTAAATTGTTTGCGGTAGTAGACATATGGAGTGTTTAATATCATAGCTTTGTAGAAATATTCAGTACACAAATATACAAGAGAGAGGAATGCAAAAGTTATAAGAGATACTAGAATTTTTACATTGAAAATTCTGAAAAAAAAGGGAAAAGTACCAGGCCATGCCCAGTTAAAATGATTCCACCAGTGTTTGTTGTTGATTACAAATGATACCTTCCTCGGGGGAAGGTGTTGGCTCAATGTTGCAAATATACATTATATATAGCACATTACATGGCTGAAGTTGAAATGCGAGCTGCCAATTTGTTTGGTCGGTAGGATCGTAATCGGACGAAGTTAGCCAGAGGGATTATAGTAGAGCGGCGATGGTTGGAGGTACGACAGTTGGACGATTGTGGTTTGAGGACCGTAGTCAGTGAACGACGGAGGTCAGAGGGGTGTAGTCAAAAGATGGAGGTTGGATGAACCATAGTCGGGCGACTGTGGTCTAAGGACTGTAGTCGATGGACAACAAAGATCGGAGGACAAAGATAGTGAAAGAGGAGCTTTGAGAGGATGAGACACGATAGAGATTTCATGAAAAGAAGAATGAGAGGTGTGCCCAAATAGAGTCGTCGACAAGGGCAGCGAGACAAGAGATGCATGAAGTGGTGTCCAAGAGAGGAGATGTGGTGAAGGTTCTATCTAAATAGTAGAGATTTGGGTGGGGTGGGGGGATTTAAAAAGAGAGGAGTTAGTTTGAGTCGGAAAATTTATGCGTCCTATGGATTACTATTAGAATTTTTTGCTGATAATTAGTTGATTATTGACAGAAAATCTTTTGTTAAAAAACATTACAAGCATAAAACTTGCCAATTTTTCATTCATTTACCTTTGCATTGAATGAAAGGAATCAATTTGGGCAGAAAAATTTATGCGTCCTATGGATTACTGGTAGAACTCTTTTGCTTATGATAAGTTGATTGTTGACAGGAAATCTTTTGTAAAAATAAAAAATAAAATAAAAACATTACTACAACGTGTACTAATAAAATGCTAAACAAATTACTTGTGACATTTAATGTTTTATAATAGTTTTAGTTGTTATGATAATTTTTTAGCAGCTAATTTCATAAAAAATGGCTTGCTGCACTCCATTGCTTCTCATGGTGGTAACTTGCTGCGCTCCTCTATGGAGATATGCAACCATTAAGATTCTAAATTGGATAACTTAGGTTTCGTTTGAGACAGCTTTCTTACAACTTCTTAACATAGCTTTTTAGTAAAAAATTAATTATTTTTTTGCTAGAAAGCTGTTTTAAAAATCAGTAAAAAAACAGTCTTAAATGAAGCCTTAGTTGCAATGATTTAATGTTTTCCTCTACCATATTTACCTATTCTGACAAGTACAATGTTCACCTTTTGTTCTGACTATTTATATCTCCTAGCATAATGAAATCTTTTGAGAGCCTCTGCTCTTTTTCCCAAGAAGTTTGTAAGGTACGTTGCATTGAGTAGTTGGATGAGTGTAGGTTTTATCAATATTTTAAAAGAATGCGTTATAATTTTCTTTTTATTACCATTTTCTATAGATAATATGTTTATTTTACTGTTATTTTATATATTAATGCAAGATATTTCATGAACTCATTCCTGATGCAAAAAAAAAAAAAACTCAGTAGCATGAAAAAACATTAAAATATATGAATAAAATGAGGGGTTTTCACATATGATGCATACAAAATTAGAATCGATCATGCAATCAAATCCAGAGTTAATTAGAAGCTTGTCAAGATCTTCTTCAGATGTAAATATAGAAGGTGAAGAAATCCTAGCCATATGAATATGCGAAAAAAAATAAGTCAAGGTCATCAACAGAGGCAGATTTGAATGGCGACCGCCCCTCCAATGATTTTCCTATATTCTTTCTATTGCATTATGTGAAGTAGTATGATGTAATACAAATATTAAGTTTTATATGAGTTTTTTGCTCCTTAGAAATGGACAAACAATGCCGTATTACTTGTCCCTCAACACCATAATCTTGGATTTGCCATAGGTTGTTTGTTTGGCACACCACCTTTAACCAATAATTGATCTAGATCTTTGATTTGGTTACATTGACTTTCACTAATCGCACATCAAAGTTGAAAACATGCCAAATATGATCATGAAGAAGTGTTGGAAGAGAAATTGAGAATATGGATAAAATTTAAGGGAAAAGTGAACAATGAAATTGTCGAGGCTAAATTCTGCCTGCCCTCATCAAGCTTCACAATTGACATTCAATCATTTAGCCTCCAGGAGGAGAAGAGGGTTGATGTCCTAGAACTTATGGATCTTTGGAAGAGTAAATATGTTCGTAAGCTCATTATGTGATCAATTTTTGTAGTAAACATCAATGATGTTCCTTCTTCAATCTCACATGACAAAGCAAAAGTTGTAACTGGGCAAAAGTGTGCAATCATAGTTATGATTTTAGATTTCCTGCTAAAATCCTGTGTACTAGCGTACATAAATTGTTTAATGATTATTTTGCTTTCTCTATAACAAAAAAAAAAAAAAATCCGAACTTGTAACTAGCTTCAGTTCAATGACTTAAAGGTATGATTGTGAGCATTTAACTCAAAATTTGAAAAGGCCAATTATGAATTATGGACTTGAGTCATAAAGTATATTTATTGGTTACTCACAAAACCAACAAGAGAACAAATGCTATTATCCAACCACTAAAAATGTTTAATTATATGGACATAACATTTTTTGAAAGATAGCTTTTCTTCTCCAAATATCACTTTTAGGGGGAGAATTCAAACTCTCTCAATGAATATAAGTCTAGTAAGAATATCTACTCTCCTTTGAGCATAAACTCTCTTTGAACAACCCAAATCTTATGCCCCTGACTGCATTAAAAACTCCCAACATCGCATATAATGAGCTAATATAAAGTTATTGTCTATACCAAATGTCAGGAAAATTTAACAAACAAAGGGGATCAAAGCATTTCTTCATAGAAAAACCACATGTTTGGCCTAATTTGTTGCCTATCAATTGTAGGTAAAAAAGCAGCAGCAGAAGTGCGATTCGGTTGCATACCCAGGAGCCTTGAGAAACTTGCTCATTCACATTTTGATTTGCAGTTGATTGATGAAAGATTGAAGCAACTTCTACATCTCCTTGTTGGATATTGTCGATAAAGAAAATGAGGTACTTTTTGACTTAATAGAAAAACTATTGCATTTGAGGCATCTTAATTTGATTGATGAATACATAAAGGAAATACTATAATTCATTGGGAAATTAACATGCTTACAATATTTGAACATCCGTTAATACATTTATTTGAGACAACTTCCTAGTGGAATTACTAGGTTCTATAATCTAAGGCACCTTGATCTATTTGGAACACCAATTAGTTTCATACCACAAGAAATAAAGAAACTAAAAAAGCTTAATTAATAGAAAAACTATTGCATTTGAGGCATCTTAATTTGATTGATGAATACATAAAGGAAATATTATAATTCATTGGGAAATTAACATGCTTACAATATTTGAACATCCGTGAATACATTTATTTGAGACAACTTCCTAGTGGAATTACTAGATTATATAATCTAAGGCACCTTGATCTATTTGGAACACCAATTAGTTTCATACCACAAGAAATAGAGAAACTAAAAAAGCTTAATTATTTGAAGGGTTTTGTGCTGGCCAACAATAACAACTACATCAATTTGGTAGACTTGATTTCTCTGAAACAGATTAGAAAATTAGGTATTTATGACTTAGAGAAAGCTAAAAATGGATATCTCAATGAATTATCTTATCATTCTTCTTTGAAGTTATGCTACTCCAAGGACCACTCAATTCAAATTGAGGGACAATATTTAGCAGTAGAGGTGCAGTTAAATATGAAGATCTCCACAAAGCCTAAAAAAATTAATTTATATGACTTCTTTGGCCGTCGTTTACCCAAGTAGATGTTTTTGTCATCTTTTCAATTTTGTGTTCCTTTATTGACTAAATTAGAATTCAAAGGGATAAGTTATAGACTCAGCTTTTACACTTAGGCCAATTACCTCAACTTAAACAGCTTAATATTCGAGCTGCCACTAAAGTGTAAAATATTCGCCTATAATTTCTTATTGTTGGTATCAATTTAACAACAAAGATTGTTTTCCCAAAGCTTGAAATGCTTTATATCAACAAAATGGATGATTTGACATAGAGTGGTCTTTTATACAGAAGTAGAGAAAAATGCATCTCTAAGGCTTCAGTTGATGCCATGTTTCTAGATATTAGACATCAGTCGTTGTCCATTGTTGACACAATTTCCAAAAGGTCTAAAATAATTACCAATGAAGTCATTAGAAATAAGTTCAAAGAGTCTGATATCAATGAACGAACTTCTTACTAAAATTGAGGAACTGAGAATATTTATTTGTAATAATTTGATAAAAGTATGTTCTCTTTATTCATTAAAGAACCTTGTTATTGACCACTATAGAGCCTTGTTTTCTATCAAAAACTTTGATTCAGTGCAGGAATTGTATTACCTTAATTCTTATAATAAGCACCTAAACTAAATTCTCATAAGAATCATGGAAATACAATTTATGCAATTAAACAAGCTTCTCCACGGAAGACAAGGCTTTGTAGAAAATGATAATGAGCTTCTTTAACATAGGAGGATAATAGACATTTTCCAAATTTGAGCAACCATATATACTTAGTTCCTTAATTTCAGTAGGCAGATTGTTCACTGATCTCAGGCTCCGTGCTTTTATACAGAGTGATTTCATAACTTAGTATTTTAGACCTTTTGATAGCTATATCAGCAAGAGGCAACCAGTGATGTATAATTTCTATAAACATGATAGCAACTTAAGCTTTGAAAATGCAATTTTTCTCAACTTGTGCACCAAAAGACCGATTTTCTAACTCATCCATTTTGTTGATATAAAATATATCAAGATTACGGAAAACAATCAAGTTTATCAAATTGATGCCACCAACAAGAAGTTTCAGCCTAATTTTCTTACTTTAATCATAGATCAAATCTTAAGCTCTTTAAGTTTAGGCAACTAGCTTAAGGGAGGAGCTGAGTGCATGATTTTAACGCTTTGAATTCTAATTTAGTCAAATTTGAAACACAAATTTCAAAAGATGAAAAAATCATCCAATTAGTGAAACGACGACCAAACAAGTCACATATATTAAATTTTTTCAGGCGTTGTGGATGTATCATATCATTGAATAACTCTTCTATTACTAGAACTTGTTCCTCACTTGGAAGTCAGAATGGAGCGGTCCATGGAGAATTACAACATAACAATAGAAATATAAGGTAGTTCTTTGAGAATTATGGTTCCACTTTGAGCTTTCTCTAAGTTGCAGATATTAAGTGTTCTTATCCATTTAAAAGAAACTATTTTAATTTGCTGCTAGAGTAATTGTTGGCCACCACAAAGCTATTTAGATAATTAAGTTGTTGCAAATTCTCTACTCCCTGTGGAATTAAACTATATTAATTAAATTAGATTTTTTTTTATGAATTTTCTAATGTTCAGGTTATAAATTATTCAATTATCCTTTTATTAGTCTTTTCTTAATGTTTTCTCTTTCTCCTATTCTTTTTGAATTATTCCTAATATTAATTTTTAACTGCACTTAATTTTCTTGAAAACTTAATTCAAAAAGTGATTTTAATATAATTAAATTAATTTAGTTATATTTTATTCAAACTTATTTACTTCTATTAGCCCTGGGTTGATTTCATGCTTAAGTTTTAATTTTAATTTGATTTCTCTCACAATTCGGATTTAAATGCAATTTTATTATTTAATTATAGTGTAAGCATTATTATTCGGACTTAATGAAATTTAATTTTGAGTTCAACTATATATGACAAAATTGAATTTTATTTAATCAGATTTTCATCAACATTGTATTTTTTTTTAATTAATCACATCTTCAGATTGATTTATCTTTAATATTGTTTTATTTCAAATCTTATATTTAATCTATACATTAATTTGATTATGTACCATAAATTTATGGATTAATTAATTACAGATGTATATTCTATTTACTATTTGAAAGTAAATTTTAATTTACATGAATTTATAACTATTGAAGCATGATTAAAACTATTAATCAAATAACCCTTAAATATTTCAAGTCTCATATATTTGCAACTTATTTTAGGATGTGAATTAAGTTGTAATAATCTTATCTATAACGCTCCTAGTACTAGCGAGAGTGCCAACATGCAAACGATGGGTTCGGCTTATAAATAATAAAAAGAGCATTTCTATAAGGCACTATGGTTGGAAGAGCATAAAAGTACATAAAGGTCTTATAAGATCTATGACTCTCTAAGCTTTCGAAAACTTCCTACGCTAGAGCAAGTTTCTGATGATTTCCGGTGTTAACCTCAGAATAATAAAACAAAAAAATCTCGCGTACAAACTTTGCACCCGGCGGATCCGTGAAATTCGCCTGAAATCCTGCCGAAATCCTGCTGCAAACGGCGCAATCTTTTCGCTTTAGCATCTAAATTGTTACCACCATTCCTCGCAAATTATACAAGCAAACAAAAGAGAAATAGTGGTTAGAGCAGTAATTATTTAAACGAAAGAGCCAATGAATATGCAACCAACTTTACAATAATTAATATTTACCTTTCTTCAAGCTTCTTTGTTGACTTGGTACAACGCCCATAACTCTCCCTTATGTATTAGTTTCAATTTCCATAAGAGGACAGGAGATGGTGTTATGGCAGTAGCATGGATCACTACATTTCCACTTTTAAGTCCATCGTCTCAACTGATATCAGTAAACCTTCTCCTTAACTTGTTTCAGCCAAACCTTTGCTCCAAAAGAGCTGTTTTATCGCCTGCACGGTGGAGCACAAGAGTGTCTATGGAGGCTAGCAATGAAGCTCTAGACATAACATCCAACACAATTCCTAATTAGCTTGTAAATATAAAACAATTAATAACTTAACATCCGCATTTACATGTATGTAGTCATGAAGTTGCGTTGTTATGAGTAGAATTTTATAGAATCAATCGATAAATATACTTAATATTAATTTTATCGAAGCCCACAATTATGATATCAAGTTCATAATATGCATGCAGCAAAATGAGCAATGAAATTTTCGTAAGTTCTAATCTTTATGCTAAATTCTTAATATGACATATGATGCATCAAATTTATAAAGCAAGTGAACAGAAAATTCTTCAAGTAGGAGTGTCAATTTCAAATCACAGATCAGGTTCGGGTCAAACCCGAAACTGACCCGGCACTATTCGAGTCACCCCGAACCAGACCCGTTTTTGTAAACAGGTCGGTTTTCCGAACTCGAACCCAACCCGCTTCGGGTCCGACTCAACCCGACCCGACCCGAATGACCTGGGACGGACAAAAAATTGCTAGTTTTCGAGTCCAAAAATTAGGTCAATCTCCGCTTTCCGGTCAAAACGGGTAAGAAATGGGTCAATCTTGGGTTGTTGGGTCAAAAACGGATTTTCGAGTCAAAACAGGTCAATTTTGGGTCAACAGGTCAACCCGAACCCGACCCAATTTTTGAAAGGGGAAATTTTTAAAGTAAGCATGATTAAAAATTTAATTATGTGATTAAGTAATGTTAAAAAAAAATTTAAAATTAGGCAAAGTCGCCAATTTAACGGGCGATTTAGTGCTGACTCAGCACATGGTTGCCAGGTCATCTAATTGATACTGTAGCAAGTCGCCGGTTAAACGGGCGACTTGCTACAGTAACAAACAATAGAATATAATTTTTTTTTTTAAATTAGATTATTTCAAAAAATGGCTCAACAAATGATTATTAGAGCTCTATCTTCCCTCCCCACAGCTTTCCGAACAGTCCAAATCCTTGAAACGGGACCGGGCGTTGAGATTCTTTATAGAAGCAAACACTTCAAAAACTTATAAAAAAAAATCTATTTTCTCCCGTCTTCTTCTTCCTTTCCTACATGAATTTCCTAGGTTCCTACAAAACCTAGCTCAAATCCCTAAACTTAAAGCTAACACCTCCATGGTAACCAAAAAAAAAAGCAAAAACATAACTAGTTGAGACATTTTCTCAATCCACTATCAAAAAACTCCTAAAACCAAAAAAATATGTACTGCTCCGCCTCCAGGTTCCATTTATGGATTCTATTAGGCTATTAGCGGCAGAGACTTTCAACGCTAATCAACATCAAAGAAACGGAAGAGGAAGGCAGCTCAATTTTAAAAATATATTTTACTGTTTGTTACTGTAGCAAGTCGCCCATTTAACGGGCAACTTGTTACAGCATTAATTTGTTGAGCTGGCATCTGATTTGCTGAGTCAGCACGAAGTCGCCCGTTTAAAGGGCGATTTTGCCTAGTTTTAAATTTTTTTAAAACGATACTTAATCACATAATTAAATTTTTAATCATGCTTACTTTAAAAATTTCCTCTTTTTGAAACGGGTCAAATTGTTGAACCCGAACTTGACCCGTTTCAGGTTCGGGTCAACCCAAATCCGAAATTTTCGGGTCGGGTTTTCGGGTCATGTCCAATATTGACACCCCTAGCTTAAATATTTTTATTTTAAATCATATATTTACACTTAACTAAATACCGTCGACAGTTGATTGGGAAATTTTACAAAAAAAAAATTTTGCAATAAAAAAAAGAAAGAAAGTCATAGATAGTTATTCGTTGGGCATTTCACTAATTGGTACCTGACGCTTGCAAAAGTACATGAAGTAAACCAGCATAAGAATCATGCTACCCAATCACATATAATCATAAAAAAAAAAAACTCTATCCACATAGTTTGATTAAGATCACCAACAACACAATCTATTTGGAACTTGTCAATACAACAATAGTCAGATACACCAAGGAACTACCATGCACACTTCAACACCATACAATTTACCATAAAAGCTACTCACAAGCATGCTTTATTCTCGACTACTTCAGTTTTGTGAAAGAGCAGAAAATAATAACAAGCTCTTTGCTACTATTACAATCATAGCTCCTATGACCTTTTCTTTTATTTCTTTGTTTAAATCTTTTGGATAATCCCTTCACCATATACATATATAACTTTCTTAAACGATGAATATAGCTAAAGGTTACTACATGATATGCAATGCCATAGATATTAATTAGTATACAGAACATGGTACATGCGAGTTTGAAGGCTGTAAGTCTACCCATGGTAACATCTTCAACATAGATATGATTTCCCATATATGATAATGTATAATTGTGACACAATAACGTGATTTAGGAGATATTACTATCACCCACACTCAGTAATTTGTATTAGGATTTTTATTCACAGGAATGCATACAAAGAAATGTGGATATATAGATACAGCTGGTGAACATGTTTCTTTGCAAAATGATGGACCCAATGCATAATACGAGCATAACTTCGGTAAATGGAAATGCTCGGATAAGAGAATCCGTTCATAATTATGTCAAGATATGATTTAAATAGTGAAATTAAAAGTTAAATTCATACCTGGTGATCGAGAGATTGCTGCAGTAGAGATGGAATGGGCCGGACACCGGACCTAAAAATAAGTCCGGATACAATCGTCGAGGGGACGAAGAGAAGGGAGCTTCAGCTTCTCTGGCTGGACCGAGCAGGGAAAAATCGGCAGAGACAAGAGCTCGTGAGCTTATGCCTGGCTGAGGTCGCGCAAACAGGGTAAGAGGCCGAGTCTTTCTTTTTGGCACTGGGACCAGCGAACTGAAGAAGCCAAAGAGAGCCCCGTCTCGAATGCTCCGGCGTGAGGGTTGTAGTCTTCGGTTTTTATGAGACGGGCCGAACGAGATGGAAGCGATATATCTCTCAATCCCTGCCTTCTTCCATACACTAATCAAGCAACTACCCGCTGCATCCTGCCAACTCATGCGACTGTATCACCTGGCGACTGACAGAACTGGGCTGTTGACCAAATTGGAGCCGTTGATTGCATTTCTTGATTTAGGAACTTATTCAATTTCATTAGAAAATAAATTGTACATATTCTAACACTAATTAGGCTGGTTTGGGTAACATTCTAGTCAACTCAATTTGACTCAATTGGAGTTGAATTAGGTTCAATTTGGTTTGACCATATTAATTTGACAAAATTAAACATTAATCTACGCCAAATTGGTTTAATAACTTTTTATCTGGAGTTTTCCTGAGTTGGAAGAATGGTCTTTTGGCACTCAAGTTGAGCAAAATGCAAGGCTTACATGTTTATAGAAACATACAATCTGGTATTGTCTATTGTTGAAACAGCTACTAGAAGGTTTAAAGTACTCTCGTATAAAGTCTCACTGGATAGGACGTGCTAGGAGCCTGAAATCAGTTGATAATCTCCCTGCTAAAATTGAAAACCTACAATTTCATGAATGTAAAATTTTGGAAAAGGTCTGTTGTCCCCCTACATTAAAGGGGCTTTCAGTTCAAAAGTGTGAAGCTTTGGCTTACATGGAGAAGCTTGATTCATTGCAAATGTTAACTTTTCATAGTATCAATAAGGGTAGTCTTCCATAGTGGCTATTGAAGCTTCTGCGACAACGGGGGTTGCAAAATGATTCTAATGATGACATTCATCTTTACTTGAGGTGCAGGATGGAGGTTTTTCGAGAAAGCTTAAAAGGAGATTCTTATTGGGATCTAATTCAACACAGTCCACAAGTATTATGTCGGAGCAATGACTTTGTTTATTATCTTTGATATAGTAAGCAACCTTATGTTTATGAAACAAATCTTTGATTAATTCAGATGTTTGAGGTTTGTTAAGTATTATTAAGTTATTGTGGTGTACGTTATTTGTATTATAGTGAGTGTGTGCTTCTTTGTATAACCGTGAGCTATATATTATGCCATAGTACTTATTATTTGTATATTTGCTTAATTTTTGTGAGACCATCCTTCTTCACGATTGGATTGCATCTGCTTCTGCTTTATGTTACTGGTTTAATGTGATTATTACATAAGAAGTTATTTATTTATAAGCTATTTTAAGGAATAATAAAGAGTGCTTGCATTATGCATTATGCATTATGCATTATGTGTTTTTTGTTATACTCTTCGATATGTTCAGAGTAGAATTAAAGGGAATAACTTAAGGCTATTTTTAAGTTTTATTAAATTTTTAATTGAAATTTTTAGTTTAATTTTTTTTTTAACTAAAAAACTTCTTTAAGAAGTAGTAAGAAAGATGTCCCAAACGAAACCTAATTGTCATTAAAAAAAAACATAAAGAGGATTTGGTTGGTCGATCTTATATCCCAAATGATTTACTTACAGATTCAAGGTATCGCTGATCACGTTTCCACCTATAAAGAACTCTATTAAATAATAATTTACTTATGGTTTTAGAAATCGAAATATATTGCTCGATTTGATCAATTCACTTATGTATAGAACAAGGTTTAAAATTGCGTAACTGCGCCTCGAGGCGGTTTTCGTCCGTGAGGCGAGGCGTAAGCCTTGAGGCGGTCTGAGGCATAAACCTCACGAACACAGAATTGCATAAATGAAAAATTAAGGGTTTTAGCAGGAAAATAATAGCAATAGTGGAAAATAAGAAAGTAGATGCAATAAATCATGTCCAGAAGTACAAAATCACAAAATATTAGTTTAACAAAACTCCCAAAATAATGCGAGCATGATAGATGTTCCTTCATGCGGGTAACACCTTCCCTTCACACTTTATCGCAAAAATTACATTTCAAATATACATAGCTCTTCTCTCCGCCGCCAATGTCAACTTGTACACTATACTTCCAAGAAGGGTCCCTCCGCAATGAGTATTCGTCTTTTTTTACCTCTAACATGTCTCCTAAAGCAAAAATCAAATACACTCAAAAAAAAAAAAAAAAAAAAAAACTTAAACCCTAGTTTCTCTAAACTTGCAAATATATCCCTAACTTAATAAAAATACCTAAAAATCCAATGTGGAGTACTCTAGAGGGTGGCCGGAAGTTTCCACTTCGCCGGAGAGAGGCGGCGCGCGGGAGGAGCGGCGGGAAAGCAAGGCCGACGGCGTGCGGGAACTCGGAGTCGCGACCTGGAGCGTGCGGGAGGGAGAAACGTCGGGTGTGCTGAAGGATACGGGTGAAAGGAGAGAAAAAGAGCTCATTTTAAGTGAGTGGACCCTACCCAGAGAGGCGTACGCCTCACAAGGAGTTGCGCAATTGCGCCTCTGAGGCGCGCCTCAGCCCCAGTGAGGCGTACGCCTCTTGAAAGCCCAGAATTGTGTAGGTTATGAGGCGTTTTTGGGAGAAATTGCGCAAAGGCGCGCCTCAAGGCGTGCCTCTCATTGCGCAATTTTAAACAGAGGTATAGAACTAGTCAGAACTACTTATTGAACTAAAGAATCATTTATTTTCTGCCTGAAGTATGCTTAGAAGCTAAGAGAACTGAGAAGCTCTATTGAATATTTCTAACTATTACAGCTGAGGACTACCATTGGGAATCACCATCACCATCTCCTAACTTTTCTCATTCAAATATGTTTGATTAACTACTAATATTCAACACCAATATTAATTTTTAACTATTCGTTTATGGACCCCCCACCATTTCTTTAATCCTTAAGACATTAGTGTATTATCACATCTTCAATTATGAAAAAACATAAATCCTTGTATTAATAAGAATAAGTGGATTATTGCAATTAGACATGACCCTATTGTTTTCCTCCTTTACAAAATTTTCATGTAAAAATTCTCCTCTTACAACTTCTATTTATGTATACTAGATTTTCGGACAAAATCAATATACTAAACATATATTCTATAACCATAAAGTTTCTAGCATATAATAATATTAAATATCACGATCTCTATTTAAAATCTTTACATAAATAACAACCAAGTGTAATATCAAAAATCTAGAAATTAAACACCGGCATGATTTAGTTTTATTTGGGACAACTTTCTTATTACTTTCAAAAACATCTTTTTCGTACAAAAATTATTTGAATTAGAAAATTTTGAAATAGAAAGTTGTTTAAGAAAACTATCCCAAGACGAAGCCTTTCTTCCAATCAAAAGTTTAAAAAAATGACAACTTTCAGAGAGACTATATCGCCCAAAATTATGTAATATGGCAAACTGCCTTGCAAAATTGTTGAAATAGGTCTGCATTTATGAGCAAAAACATCATGATGAAAAACCAAGGTACTAAAACCTATCCTAAAAGCTCTTTGCTTGTTCTCTCAAGTCCATCACAACTCGTGGATGTTGTTGCTTCACTTTCTTTAGCTCATATTTGCACATAAATTTTGGTACAAATTCTTGGTGGATCTATGAAATCAAGGCTTTTAGACCCTCCTAATTTTGTGCTTAGGCTGCTTAGCTTTGATACATATGCTTGTAAGTGTATTATTTCAGAGCCTCCAGCTATTCCCATTCCTATTAGGATATTGTTATAGTTTTTCAACAATTTCACGAGTCTAATGTTAGTTTATCATCTATTGAATTGATATGATATTTCATGTCCTATATTTTATGAGAGGCAAGTAAAAAATTACCGTCATTTTCAATATTCATAATACCATAAGAAACATGTTTCAATTGAGAGTTCATTATGATATCTTCACAAATAAGATGAATATTTTCTATTTTTACATTATTTTAATTTTCACGTTTAACTAACAATTCCTTAGAATTGTGTCATATATACTAATATTCATATTTGGTCATAATATTACAAAAAAAAAAAAAGTTTGCAAACCTCCAAAAAAAATTTACAAATAAAAAAGTCCTATAGTGTGGTCACCAACATAACTTTAGACACAAAAAAAGAAACCTACTTAAGCTTGCACGAGAGGTTGGCTGATTGAAAGCCTAAAAAACAAGGTCTAGTTTTCTCTATAGCAACAAAATTTCAATCGGAATTGTAACTGACATCAAATCAATGAACTAAAGGTATGATTGTGAGCATTTAACTCAAAATTTGAAACTGCCAATTATGAATTATGGACTTAAGTGCATCGGATCACATCACCAAAGATATATGTATTTCTCAAAATTCAAAAATTCAAAAACTCGTTGAAACTCATCACATAAATCAATTTATCTCCACTATTTCTTTCAAAGTCTTTAATTGTTCTATTTTTGCATAACTTGATTTTGTCATGTGTTTAAATCACCGCCGGTTTATCTTATATATTACTTTATCTTCATCTAAGATGTCTTTGAACATATTATTTCATAAATTTAAAATTATAGAAATAACACTCTTTAGTCTGAATTTTGTGTAAGACTAATTATAGTGTTATACCTTTGGCTTAGCTTTAGCATAGTTTTCAACTAGCCTTGTCATACCTTTTGAATTATTTTGAATTTAACTCTCATATATATTTTTTGTGTGCTAAGTTGCTATCATCCTAACATATTTTGCAAATATTTTCAGTAACATTTATTTTGCAAAATAGCATGCATATATTTTTCAAGTTCTTACATTACTCCATTGCCCACATTACCTAATCTGAAAGTTGTTTGCTTGTATTTTTCTTTATAGATACAATTAGAAGCTTCATTTCATCCTATTTTCATATCTGTAAGTAAATCATTTGAGATATATGATCCACCATTCATGTTCTCTTTCTATTTTTCTGTTAATTTTTTTAATGACAATTAGTCTCTCATGCCTCTTTTTCAACTCTTCACTTGAGATCTTTTGAAATAATTTCAAGTCTCAATTTCCAATTGATTTTTTCAATAGAACAACAAAATTAAACTAAACTGGTAAGAAAATAAAATAAAATAATTAAAGAAAACAAGATTGGCATGATCAACTCATTCCCTACATAAAAAAAAATAAATTTATTTTTTAATAAATAGTTTTTTAAAATGTTTTTATCAAAAGGTATATATTTGAATGTATTTAAAAAAAACATAAGTGTAAGGAAATTGATATTTCAAAATTAATAATTTTAATGATATTCAAATAAATTTAAATTTAATAATATTTAATTATATTAAAGAATATGATTATAAGATTTTAATAATTTAAGCAAATCATCTTCTAAAATTAAATAATATCTATTAAAAAATTTCTTCTTAGTTTAAAATTTTTATTAAAAATTTTTACTTTTAAAGTATTTTTTAAAAGATTATTAATTTTTTAAGATCATTTTATTATACAAATATATATAATTTTTAAATTCATTCAAAATTATACTTTGAATTAAAACATTATTTTAAAAAATAAACTAAAAATTGAAAGACAAAAAATTTTCAAATTAAAGAAACTAAAAAAAAAATCTTAAGCAGTTGGATTTGTTCCCTTAAATTCTATGCTGAACATAAAGATCGAAGAGTAGAAAGAGACGCATAATACATAATACAAATACACTTTATTGTTCCTTGAAAAAGCACACATATAACTTCTTCTTTTATATAATCACATTAAATCAATAACATAAAACAAAAACAGAAGCAATCCAATTGTGAATTAAGAAGGATGGCTCCACACAAATTAAGAAAAACATACAAATAGTAAATAATATGACACAAATATAGCTCACTCACAGTAATACAAACAACACCACAACAACTTAATAATCCTTAACAAAGCATCAACATCTGAATTAATTAAAAATTTGTGGAGTAAACATAGGGTTGTTTACTATATCGAATATAATATCCCCAACATCTGATATCTACTCGTGGAATGTGTTGAATTAGGTCCCAATAAGAACCTCCTTCTAAACATTCTCGAAAAATCTTCTCATTGCATGACATCGAAACTTGGAAGTCATTATTAGAATCATTTTGCAATCCCCGTTGTCGTAGAGCTTCAATAGCCACTCTGGATCACTATCCTTACCAATATCATCGAAAGATAATTTTTGCAATGAATTAAACTTCTTCATGCAAGACAACTCTATACATTCTAAAACTTCGAGTCTCTTTAACATAGGGGCGCAACAGACTTTTTTCAATTTTGCACAGAAAAGTAATCTTAAGTCCTCAATTTCACCAGGGAGATTAT